GGTTAAGTTATTCTAAAGATATTAATTAAAAAATTGTATTAAATTAATGTAATTAATCATTCTTTATTTATAACATATATAAAAGCCATTCTTTAGTTTATTCTTTTTCAATGAATTTTTTTATACAACTTATAAGCAAAAAGAACAAAAATTAAAGATAATTATTGTGAATTGTAAATGAGTTTTATAAATTAACAATTTTCTATTTTTATTATTATTGATTCATATCATTTTTAAATATGGTACTACTTTGAGACATTAGTTTTCATTTTAAAATAAATATCTTTTTAACAATGGTATGATTATTCTCTTTCAGTTTTGAATTTAACTTATTTCGGTAAATATTTCTATGACTTAGACTAAAAGATATTAAATTTAATATAAAAACATTATTGAAACTCATTTTGATGCTTAGTTTTTTGTTACTCAAAAAAAACGAATTTTCAAATAAAAAATGTCATCATAGTCTGATAAAATGAAACATAATTATTGAAGTTAAAGTTATTTGAATGTTTGTTCTGTTTTAGGATATACTTGAAAAATGTTATATTTGATAATAACATCATAAAAATCTGAAAAGTATCAATAACTTTTTACTGTGAATTTTTTCTCTTTTTTTAATCTTTTTTAAACTTAAAAAAGAGAATAAAAAAACTCAAAAGTGTTAAGAAAAAAATGTGGAGAATAGACAAGTTAACATTAACAGATTTTAAATCATACAAAGGGACACACGTTATTCCAGAATTTCATAACTTTCAAGCTGTCATTGGACCTAATGGTGCAGGTAAATCAAATTTAATGGATGCAATTTCATTTGTACTGGGAGTTAAAGTAGGGCTTTTAAGAGGTTCAAATCTTAAAGATTTAATTCATGATGACCCAACAATGGAAAACCCTCCAAGTCGTGCTATTGTAGAACTACAACTAAAACATGGAAATGGAGAAACAAAAAGATATAGTCGAACAATACTTGAAAGTGGCTCAAGTGAATACCGAATTGATGGAAGTGTTGTAAGTGAAAAAGAGTATCAAAATACTTTGAGAGATATTAACATTGATGTTAAAGCAAGAAATTTTTTAGTTTTCCAAGGAGATGTTATTCAAGTTGCGTCAAAGAGTGGAAAAGAGTTAACTAAAATGATTGAGTCTATTTGTGGTAGTGACGAACTTGCTAAAGAATATGATGAGCTAAAGGCAAGAAAGGAGAAGGCAGAGGAACAAACACTGACTTGTTTTCAAAAAAAGAAAGGAATGAACGCAGAAAAAAAACAGTATAAGCAAATGAAAGAAGAAGCCGAAAGATATCAAGAATTGGAAGAAGAATTAAGTGAACAAAAGAAGAAATTGATGCTTGTTGATATTAGAAATTATAAAAAAGGAATGAAGAAATATACTGATGAAACCAAAGAAAAAAGAACAGAATTAGAAGAATTAATGAATCAAAAAACTGAAAAAGAACAAACATATCAAGAAGCATTAAATGAAGTCAGAAAGAAAATTAAAGAAGAAAATGAAAAGAAAGATGAGATTAGAAAATTAAAAGGTGAACGAGAATCTTTAAAACCTCTTGAAGGTAGAATTCAAGCTAAAAAAAGATTATTAAATGATAAATTAAGAGGAAAAGAAAGGGAATTTAAAATTCTCGAAATGCAAAGTTCTGAAGAAAAACATAAAATTGATGAATTTGAAAAACAAAAAAGTGAAAAAGAGGAAAGATTAAATGAATTAAAAAATAAACAAATGGTTACTCTTAATGAAAACCAACAAAAACAATTTGATAAACAAAATGAAAAATATCAAACAGAATGTAGAGATAAAGAGATTGAATTTAATGAAATGAAAAGACAAATTAAACAAGATGAAGAATTAATAAAAGAACTTGGAAAAGTAGAAAATGTCAAACTTTTAGAAGAACAACTTGATTCAATTAAAATACAAGTTAAAAGATATGAAGAAGGAATACAAAAAGAACAAGAAGAAAAGAAAAAAGAAGAAGAAGAAGCAGAAATTATTAAAGTTAGATTAAATGAAAAAACAGAAAATATTGAAAGACTTAATCATGAATTAAAACAAGTAGAGGATCAAATGAGTGAGTTAAGAATGAATTTAAAAGAAAATAAACATGAAAGAATGTTAAATGAAATGGTTGATAATTTAAAACGATTATTCAGTAAAGTTTATGGACAAGTTAATGAGTTATATACTCCTATTAATAAGAGGAATGGAAATGTTATTAGTTTAGCTATTGGAAAATATAACAAAGCTGTTGTTGTTGAAGATACTCAAACAGCAATAGAATGCTTAAGATATGTCAAAGAACAAAGAAGTAGAGTTGTTTTAACATTTTTATGCTTAAAAGAGTTAAAGACAAAAGATTTCTTTGAACTTGATGAAGAAATTAAAGATATTGGAGGAAGTTTTGCAATTAAAAATATCAAATATAATGATAAATATGATTCTGTCTTTAGGTTTGTATTAAATAATACATTACTCGTTGACACATTAGATAATGCAAGGAAAATTGCTTTTAATGAATACTATAAACATAAATTTAGAATAATCACTTCAATTGGAAGTATTGTAGAAAAAAATTCATTAATGATTGGTGGTATAACAGAAAAAAGTAAAAAGAAAGTTAATGTTAAAAAGGGAGAAGAAGAATATATGTCATTATCTAGTAAGAAACAACAATTAGAAGAAGAATTGAAAGAAACACAAAATATTCAAATAACTAATTTAGAAGAGGTTCAACTCAGAGTTAAAGGACATCAACAAAGAATTAATGTATTACAAAAAAATTTAGAAGAAATTAAAAAAAATGAAGAAAAATATTTAAAAGAGAAAGAAGAAATGGAAAAGAAAATTGGAGGAAAAGATGTTAGAGAAGTCAAAAAAAGAATAGCTCAAAATAAGAAACATTACGAACAACTTGAAGAAGAATTAAAAGAAAAACAAGAAGAATACTTTGGAGAATTAAACCATCAAATTGGAGTAGAAAACATTTATTTAGAATGTAGTGAAAGAATTAATAAAGAAAGAGAAATTGAAATATTTAACATTCAACAAGAAATTGATGTACTTAAAGAACGAATTAAAATAGAAGAAGAGAAGAACAGTTCAACAGAAAAAATGGAATTAGAAAAAGAAATTTATGATCTTAAAGAAGAGATTCAACAAGAAATTAATGAAAAAGAAGATGAAATTAAACAAAAGCTTGAAAGAAATAATACCGAAATTGAAAATAAAAGTGGAGAATTAGCTAGTGTATTAAGAGAAATGGAAAAACTAAAAATGAATGTTACAGACAAAAAGAAAGAATATGAAGAAGTTGAAAATCTTATTAAACAAAATCAAAAAGAACAAAGTCATGCACAAAGTATGTATAGTAAATTGCAAGTTGGATTAGATGAAACGGTTCGAAGTGCTAGAATGGAGCAAATAGAATTACCTATTAAAAACAATGAAAAGGAAACTCAAAGTACTAAAATTACTATGGATATTGTTACACAAAGTACAACTTATGAAGATGTAGAATTTGATTTTGAGAGTATAAAAGATATTAAAATAAAAAATAATGAAGAATATAACAGAATACGGAATGAGTTAATAGAAGAAATAAATAAATTAGAAAATAAGATCAATGGACTTACACCAAATATGAAAGCCATTGACCAATTTAATGGAATTGTTGATAAATTAAAAGATATTAATGATGATTTTGAAGAAGTTAGAAAAGAAGCCAAAAATGCTACAGATGCTTTCATAGAAATTAAAAATAAAAGAACAAAAATGTTTATGGAAGCTTTTGAACATATTTCTAATACAATTGATCCTATTTATAAAGAGTTAACAAGAAGTACAAAACATCCACTTGGAGGCACTGCCTATCTATCCTTAGAAAATACAGAAGAGCCTTATTTAAGTGGATTAAAATATAGTGCAATGCCACCATTCAAAAGGTTCCATGATCTTGAACAACTTTCTGGTGGAGAAAAAACTATTGCTGCACTTGCCTTATTATTTGCTGTTCAAAGTTATTATCCAAGTCCATTTTTTATTTTAGATGAAATAGATGCTGCTTTAGATGTTCAAAACATTCTTCAAGTTGCCAAATACATTCAAAAAAAATGTGGAGATGTTCAATTTTTAGTAATTTCACTTAAAGACACTTTGTATGAAAGGGCTGACGCTTTAGTTGGTGTAGCACGTGATCTTGATAAAAAAACATCTGTCACATACACATTAGATTTAAAAGAATATGAGCTTTAAAACAAGAATTGAATAAATTATTTTATATTATAAATTTACTATAATAATAAAGAAATTATTAAATGAACTATAAAATGAAACAAAGAAAAGAATAATGGAACAAGAAGAAGATAAAAAAAATTTATTTGAAGCTGATCCAACAATCCCTGTTTCATGCACACTATACATCAACAATCTTGATCAAAGTATTAAACCAAATAGAATTAGAGATTCTCTTAATACTGTTTTTGGAGCATATGGAAATGTACTTCAGGTATGTGTTAGAAAAAGCTTAAAAATGAGAGGACAGGCATTTGTTATTTATGATACGAAAGAATCAGCACAATTTGCAATGGAATCATTACAAAATCATGAATTATTTGATAGACCAATGGTTTGTTTTATATCTAAACTTAAAAAAAGATAGATTATAATAATAAAGCATATCAACTACTCTAAAGTTGAAAGTGATATTATTGTTAAGAATCAAGGAAAAGAAATTACTCGTGAAAGAAAACCAAAACAAATTAAAGTTCAAATAGAAAAAACTCTTGAACATGAAGAAAGTCCAATTAACCAAGATACAGAAAAGAAAGAATCTAATGAGACTAAACTTCCTCCAAACTCACCAACCAAATATACAAATAATAGGTTATTTATTAAGAGTGTTCCACAAAGTGTAAGTAAACAAAGATTAGAAGAATTATTTAAACAACAAGAAGGTTTTGTTGAAGTTAGGTATATTGTTATTAAAGGAAATGCTGTAGCATTTATAGAATTTAAAGATGAAACATCATCAGAAAAAGCAATGCAAAAAGGTATAGGACAGAGTGAAGGAATTATACTCCAATTTGCTAATTAAAAGAAAACAAGAAGAGATGATTATTCTTTCTTATTCTCTTTTTTTTTCTTATAGAAATAATATAATTTATTTTACTATCAAATATAGTTTTTAGTTCAATTCATCTGATATTATATATTCTCTTTTGTTTAATATGAGAAATCAACTTATTGTTGATACAATGAATCGGTGGCATTTTATTATTTTGACTGTTATTACTATTTTAATTAGTTTAGCTGTTGCAGGAGTTTCTATTTATTATCATCGTGTTGTTTTGACTACTGAAATTACTCCACTTGTTGTTGATGTGTCTTCTTACTCAAATGGGACATATGCATTAGTGCAAAGTCTTGATGTTCAAAAATATGATAAATGGCTTGAGGTGTATTTAAAGTTAGAACCAAAAAATGAAATTAATGAAGAAATTTCTTTTTATGCTGAAACTCAACTACATATTGTAAAAGATTTTCATGATAACGTTAATTCTTTCAATAGAACATACACAACACGATGTTTTATAGATAAATGTGACGATATTATTTTTGTTACTGATGATGCAGTACAAGAAGCAAAATATATTATTCTAGTTGCAATTAAAGACATAGAAAATAAATTTAATTCAACTGGACTAACAATTTCATTAAGAGTTTCTAAAGCATTTAAGTCACATACAATATTTAGTCTTTCATTAACCATAACATTGGTTTTTATTTCAATCATAACGTTTATAATTCTTTTTGGTATTGCAATTAAAAAGAAAGAATTTAATATTTATGTCAATTTTAATCTTTTATTATCATTTGGAATGATTTTATTTAATGACCCTTTTGTTGCTTTGGGATTTTATGCTAACTATATTTCTATTGAATATGTAGATAATGTATTAATGGAATTATATATGTTTATTCTTTTTGTATGGATATTTTTCCATGTAGATCATTTAAAATTACTTGCTATTGAAGAGCCTTATCCAATTTTACAATGGATATTACGTTCATGTGTTTTAATAGCTTATTTCTTCTGTTTTATTCTTTATTTCTTTATGAATATTTTACATCATTCATCTTCAATAACTGGAAGTCCAAATCCAATAATGGATGATATAAAAGCAATTAGAGATCTTTTACAAGTAGTTCTTGTTTTTTGGATATTAATGTCTGAATTCTTTTCATTTACACAAGTAATGAATCCGATAAATAGAAAAAGATTATTTTTCTTAACTCCATTTACATTATTAGTAGCTGTTGCATGTGTAATACAGTTATTTTTTCAAAATGACTCTCATAATAATATTCGTTTGTTTCTTTTATATATATGTTTTTGTATATACTTCTCTCATTTTAGAATAAAACCTTTTATTTATTTCACATAGCAATTCCTGTTTGTATGGTGAAATTAATGAATACATATTTTGTAATTGTAATGTGTTTCTGTTTCTATCAAATAAAAAATGACTTAGCAACTATTTCATTATTACACACAACAGAAACAAATCAAACAATTTTGTATGATGAATATGATATGTTTGATTCTGAAGATGACAAACCTATTTTATAACTCATATTTTTGTAGACTTTTGTCCTAAAAGAAACAGAGAAAAAGAAAATTCCATTGATTTCAATTGATTTCAATTATATTTCTATCTTTTTATAAAATTAGACACTTCAAATGAAACAAAACAAACTTTCAAACCCTTCTTATTTGTAAATTTATTTATAAAGTAAACTTGTTAATTCTTAAATATCTTTCTTGATGAATTTCACTTCAAGTCATATGCAACGATTAGATAGTATTAGAGAGGCTATTGGAAATGACCAAATAGATACATTACTTCCAACATTAAAAGCGACAAATAAACAAATAATATTTGTATGTTATAATCAAATGGGAAATCCAAATGTTAGAGATGGAAGTGCTTTTTATACAGAAAAAGAAATAGTTGAAAATAATATTAAAATTATTGTCTATATGGGAACAACTGAAGATAAACAATATGTTGCAGTAGAAACTGAACATGCTCCAGTTGGAAGTGTTTCAATGAATTTAACTGAATGTATGAAATTAGAACATACCATGTGTGATATTATTGGGTTTGGAAGTGCTTTAATAAAATTTAATCAACGTTTTAGTTATTGTCCACGTTGTGGAAATAAAATGAAATATGGGGGATTTGGAACTCATATGGATTGTGTAAATTGTAAAAATATGGTATTTCCAAGAACAGATCCTTGTATTATTGTTGTTGTACGTCATCCAACAGAAAAAAAGTGTTTATTTGTTCGTAAATCAATTATGCCAGAAAAAAGATATACTTGTGTTGCTGGATTTCTTGAAGTAGGTGAATCTGCTGAAGAGTGTGTTACTAGAGAAGTTTGGGAAGAAGTTCATTTACATGTTAAAGATGTTAAATATGTTACAAGTTCTGGATATCCTCTTCCTGGAGCAAATCAGATAATGCTCGGTTATGAAGCACAAGCAATAGATAGTGAGATTGATATTATTCCGGGAAATGAATTATGTGAAGCATTTTGGGTCAATGAAGAAGAAGTTAAACAAGCTATAAATGAATCAAAAAAACCAAAACCAGAAGGGAGATATACTGTTCCACCAACTTATATTGCACATCAATTATTCCAATATTGGGTGAATCATATGTAAGACAATTAATTTTAATACTTTTTTAAATAAAAGTTAAATATTTAAAATAAAAAAGAATTAAAATTAATATATTCTAATTTTAATAACAAAAAGGAACAGTTACAACAGCACAAGTAATATTATCTTGAGAACCCATGCTGTAAGCAAAATCTCTTAATCTTACAGAACCTATACTTAACGATTTGGATGTTTTAATAATATCAACAGCTTTTTGATTACTAACTACATCCCAAACTCCATCACATGCTACAATAACAAATTCATCATTAGCCATAATATCATATTCTCGTATTTCTGGAACAGCAGAAACAATAGGTGAATTTTGTATATCACCAAATGAACGTGAAATAGCTAATTCTCCATTAACTCTTCCTGCAAAAACATGTCCACCCATTCTAATAATTCTTTCTCTTTCACATGTTCCATTTGGTTTATGATCTTCAGATAATTGAATTGCTTTACCTCCACGACATAAAACAGCCCTAGAATCTCCTGCCCATGCAACATACATTTTCATATCTAGAATCATTACTACAACAGCAGTACATCCATCTTCTATTCCTTTTTGTACAATTTCTTCTTGCATTCTATTAAACCCTTCTTTTAAAGCATTTACTGGAGCTAATCCTTCATTTAAACAAATTTCAATTACACAATGAAATCGTTTTGCAACATAATTAGGGCATATTTGTCCTGAATGACCATCATATACAGCAGTAAAACTCCTTCCTTTTTTATCCATAAAATTTGGAACAAGTTCAAGTGAATCTTCATAAGTTGGACGTAACCCAGTCATTTCTGCATGTGCTACAGTAATTTTAAATAGACTTGAATTAGCTTTTGATAAATTTCTTCCTTCTTCAGTAGTATGATGTTGTTTAAATGGATTACAATCAAAATTAGTTAATACAAATTGATCTTCATCAATATCTCCAATAGAAGTAATTTGGTTATTTGTTAAATTAAGGAATAAAGAAGGTTTTAGTAATAACTTATTTACTGAGATAATTTTATTCTCCGAGAGATTCAGAAAAATCAATGAAGAGAGTTTTGTTAATCCTTCAGGAAGTAATACAAGGTCATTTGAAGAAACATCAAGACACTGTAAGTGAATTAAATGAGTTACTGCATCAATAGAATTTAAATGATTAAAAGAAAGATCCAATGTAGTTAAAGTTGATAATGAAGTAAGTTGAGATGGTAGTTCATATAAATTATTGTTTGAAATAATTAATGCTTGTAATTTACTAAAGTTACATATTTGAATAGGAAAAGTTGTTAAATTGTTTGATGATAATGAGAGATAACGAAGATGAATTAATACAGTAAAATTTGATGGAATAATTAGAAGGTTATTATCAGTTAATTCTAGTGATGTTAATGAAGTCATAGAAAGTAATGAATTAGGTAAAGTAATGAAATGATTAAAAGAGGCATTAAATTTTTGTACGTGAAGATGTTCAGTATTAACTTCGGGTAATAAAGAAAGACAATTACTTGTGAGATTAAGTGCGGTTAAGGCGGTTAAAATAGTAATTTCATTAGGAAAAGAAGAGATTTGATTAGCAGAAAGATTTAATGAACGAAGATTAGATAACGTAGATAATAATGGAGGAGAAAGAAGTTTATTATTATCTAATAATAATTCAGTAAGAGTAGATGGTAATGGAAGACATAATTCTACTAATTCATTAAAAGGTAAATATAATGATTTTAAATTTGGAGGTAAAGAGACTATAGTTGAAAATGAATTATTCGATAAATTTAATTGAGTTAATGCTGTCAGTGTTGTTAAACAAGGAAGAGTTGATATATTATTATTTTCACATTCAAAATTTCTTAAAGAACTTAAATTTGTTATTGAAGAAGTAATTGAACCAATATGATTATTATTTAATATTAACTCTTCCAAATGACATTCTTTTAAGAAAGGAATATCAGGTAAACTTGTTATACGATTCTTATTAAATTGGATTGACTGTAAAGAAGGCATTGTAAAAAGTTCCATTGGAATAATAGTAAGTTCATTATCGTTCATCATTAATTTAACCAATGAACACATATTAGTAATAGATTCAGGAATAACTTTAATAACATTGTCGTTAAGATTTAATGAACTTAATGAACTAATATTTGTTAATGCTACAGGAAAAGACATTAAACAATTTCCTGCAAAAGTAATTTGTTTTAAATGATGCATTAAACCAAAAGATATTGGTATTGTTGTAATAAAATTCATTTCTAATGAAATTGTAGTTAATTCAGGTGCAAAAGTACCTTCTTGGATTGTATTAATTGTATTTTTATTACAAACTAATACTTTAAGATTAGTCAACTTTGATAAACCTTTATCAATTACTGAA